TACCCATACTTATTGATGTCCGGGTCTGGGTGTCTTGTGTATGTGAGATTATGTGTTTGTAAATGCACACATGATATAGTAAAAATCCTTGTGTTAAGTACGTTCCTATCCTACTTTGAAATTTATCTTTTTACTGTAAGACCTCTTTAGTTAATCAAAAGTGAAGTAATATTACATACATACTGACTTACTCAAGCCAAGCTAGTTGGATTTTTACCCTTCCTTAGTTTCTCTTCAAATATTATTTTAATTAAAAAGATTTTCGTATTACAACTTAATGAAGGACGCCCCGTTTCAATTTGGTTTAATTAAGAGACCATTTAATTTAATTTTTTACTGAATCATTTAATAATGTGCATACATTAAATCGTTACGATAGTAATTATTAACTGCGATTAAATATAATTATACAATAATTTCAACATTATTTGTGTAAAGCGGCGATTAAAACGCTGTTAAATAATTTAATTATATCATACGGCAACACCACTTAATAAACTTCCTAAGAGACCCTTTTTTTATTTTAACCAAAATATCGTCTTTTGATTTTTGTTATGATAGTATGATAGTTATGCTGTTTGCCGATTCCCGGTAGCTAGCGCCATCTATTAGAATTTGATGGAACTTCTTACACTACAAAAGCTTCCTTTTGCAGCCGACTGTGTGGAGAGCACGGAGTTTTTTTTGTATTATTGTTTTTACGATAGTAATTACACTTATGAAAAGAATAACTACCTATACATTTATAATAATACCTATAATCTTACTATAGTTTTTTGTAATATGGAATGGAATGAGCCTCTAACACTTCTTCACTTTGCTCTCGACTTACCACGGTAGCTTTAAAAATGACCATTTCAATTTCAATTTCAAAACATTCTGATGGAACAAATTTACACTTACCTGTGACCATCTAATGCATTTTTTGTTTAGCCTCTCGCCTCTACCTAGTAGAAATTATAAATAAACTAGCGATTCGCCCTGGCTTCGTATGGGTACAACTGCCAAATTTTTCTACTATAAATAGTGATGGATGCTATTATACATTATAAACCTTGTGCTTCAATCATTCTGTTTATTAAAAACCGCTACAAAATCCTTTACGTAGTTTTAAAGATTTAAGCATACACAGGGGCAGAGAAAGTTACTTTTATACTATGTAGTGTTAAAATTCATCTCCACCACAAAACTGACGGACCATATAAAATTTTAATTTCCCCATTCTTGGCTACAATTGTTAAAGTTCGCCTGGGAAAGTAATTATTTGAAGATGAGACGTCTGAAAGACAAAGGCTATATCATTATCTGTGTCCTGAAACTTATACGCTTTGCATAAGTCAGTCGGGGTTGCTCCAACTTTCATTTTATAATAAGCGAATTCATACCAGTTTTGAGCAAACTTTCTTAGTCTCCTGAGTGACTTGGAATGGTAAATACCTACTTCTAGTGTAGCAATTCCTTGCTAATATCAGCAGATATTTTATATTATTATGAATCTATAGTACCTCCTTTCCCTGAGTAGCGAAAAACATGGTCAGGTTAGAAAATTACGTTTTTTGATTCCAAATTTAAATTGTTATTTTTATTCTTTTAAATATAAATTTTAATTTTTCAGTGGTGTGTAACAGTCAAAAATTTTTAATTTTCTCGAATTATGAGTGGGTTCTTTGAGTATGGTGTGTCTTCAAGCTATTGTTATACTTACAAAGTGATTGTTAAGTTAATTTGAAATATGATGTAGGTAAAGAGTTGCTGGTTAACATTACTTAAATGAATAATTAAAATTTGCAGCTAGGTAGTTGTTGATTTGTTGTTCTCGTAGTTGGTTCATTTGTTTTAAGATTTAATTGTTAAAATATTAGTATATGCATAGCAACTGAAACAAATTATTGTTTATAATGATGTCATTCGAAATAAAGTAACGTAATGTATGTAAGCAATAGTAAGTACAACCGCTCGTTTTTCTTGTGAGGGGAAAATCATCAAATGACTTCTCCCGCCCAGGGCCGGGCAGGAGGGAGTGTCAGACTCTTACTGACTAAAAACCCCCCTGTTCCTTCTCCTGCTCTGTGCCGAGGTCGCGGTGCCTCATTGCGCTTACCCCGCAACCCCGGCTGAACATCAGCCCTTTAGGGCCCCGTCTGTGGTGGTCTAATGGCTCTTTGAGGCGCGCGCGGAACGCTACGCGCCGTACGCTCGGGCCTGGTTCTGGTCGGGCGGCGAGCTGCCCTTACTCGCCGACCACAGGCCCGTGCTTACGGTGGCCGGAGATCGTCCCTTGATCGACTGAAAATAAAGGTGACATTTGGTTGTCTGTTTGCTTCTTTTTCACTTACCTTAAGTCCAGACTTCGTTTCAAAGCTTAAAACAAATTTTGTCGTCCAACGTCTTAAAAAGTCACAAAACGTACAGATGTACCTATGTATGTAAATTATGATCTATCAATATTCTCAGTATAATTTATGTATTGTAGAAATCCTCCTTCTACCCTAGGACAATACTTACCGAATTTCATCAACCTTTTTTTAGCATTTTATGATATTGAGCACAAACACGATACTATTCACAAGAAATCTTTAGATCAATCGTAGTTTATACAAACTATTATACTATAAAGAACATATGACATAGGTTAGCTAACTTAGACTCTAAACGTTTCGTATTTAGATCATAAATCATGAATCTTGAAGTCTCGAATGTTCGAGACAGTCTGCCGAGTTTTGCCACAGTTGCGATGAATGGTACCACTAATGTACTATAACGTAGTTCACGAAGTTAATGCCATCTTAGATTTAGAAAGTACCTAAAGATATATTTAGGAAAGATTAGGTAAGTTAATAGTACCTATAGTTGCAAGGGTATCTGCTAATTAAAGAATCTTGAAATCGCTAATCGGGAAGTTACATTGAGTTACTTCAGATTTTCAAAAGTCTCAGTAGTCACAAATTCTTAAAAGCATGAATTAGCAAAAAGACTTTTACTTTAAATGATCAACTACATGATATTTCATTTATAAGACGTTTCAATTCACCTCTTTCCTAAATCCCCATATAGAACAACCATTTGTGGATCACGCAAACAATTGTTCCTTGCGGGAATCGAACTCAGAACACGTTGCGCGACAGTCCGTTGTCCAGCACTCATACTTTACAGGTTTTCTTTTTCTAATGTACCTATATAAGGTACTTACTTAATATATAACAGTAAAGTTTATATGTCAAGATTATTATTAAAATCAATACCATTCATATCTGATAAGAGACATAGTTTTAAACATCATAGGAATAAGTAGGTAGATGCATACACAAAACTTGTGACGTAATTAATGATAGCTCAAAATAAAACATTTTGTTAATTACAGTATAAAGAACCATCGATTGAGGTGTGCTACCAAAGTTAGGTAGGTACATATATTTCGACTAAATGTTATCAATTATGTTATTAATTAATTACTTATTATTAATGCTAAGTGTGGGAGAGCCATGCTTCGGCACGAAAGGGTCGGCTCGACCGGAGTGTTACCACGGCCTCGCAGAAAACCGGCGTCAAACAACCACAGCGTTGTGTTTTGCCGTGTGAGTGAGGTTACCGGAGGCCCAATCCTTCCCCTCCCCCAATCCCTCCTCAATCCCTAATCCCTAAAAGGTCGGCAACGCACTCGTAACTCCTTTGTTGTCCATGGGCGGCGCTGATTGCTTACCATCAGGTAATCCGCCTGCTCGTTTGCCGAACGATTACACAAAAAAAATATTTGTAATTAGGGTCGAGCCTATAGCTAAGTATCATAAAATTGGCATATTCTAAGCAAACTAAATAAAGTATAGTCGATCAGTAAAATTCCTCCTATTCCCAGTCGTCAAATCCTTAACTACCTCTAAAAGGCCAGCAATGCATTTGTAACTCTTTTGGTGTTGTGGGTATCCATGGGCGACGCTGAATGCTTACCGCCAGGTGGTTCAACAGCTACTGTCTCCATCAAGTAATTGCTTATACTAATAAACTAGTGTCATACTTATCCTGACATACGGTTAAGAAAAAAACATCGTGAGGAAACTTGGCCTTAATATAATTCTATAATAATATAATAAACAGAATAAGCTTGGTGATTAATCTTCATTTTACATTCTCCGTATAAGAAGTTGATGTGTGGGAGAGTCAAGCTTCGGCTCGACCGTGAAACAACCACAGCGTTGTGTTTCGCCGTGTGAGTGAGGTTACCGGACACCCAATATCTCCCCCTGTCCCCTCCCCTTGCCAATCCCTAAATATCCGAAACCTTTATCCCTAAAAAGCCGGCAACGCAGTCGTAACTTCTTTGGTGTTGTGGTTGTCCATGGGCGGCATTGATTGCTTACCATCAGGTAATCCGTCTCCTCATTAATTGCCTATGATTCACATAAAAAAATGTCTTTGTTCAGCAGTGGATACTTACCATGATGATGAGGCTTATGATGATGATCTAAAAACTTCATTAAAGTCAACAAAATTTTTAAAAATAGATCTTAAAGAACCAGCACAAGTTAATTCCGGGAAAGATTTAGTCACGTTTTAACAAAATCTTTTTAACAATATCTATCAAGATAACAATGAAAAGGTGAGAAATTTTACAGTCCCAAATTGTCGCTAATTGGAACCGGCTCATAATTTTGCGCTCCGGTAATTTCATTGGGATCTAAATCTTTAAAGTTAATCTAATTTCAAAATCAATGAGAATTCTCTCGCTTTCGGATCTTAATTTTATTTCCTGAATTTTGAGCAAAATGAACAATTAAAACACCCTTCGTTCACTCACAATCATTGCCATTTATTTATTATTTAACGTTTGCTTTAATAGGTACATCAAATATGTAAACTATACGAGTGATATGCTCTGTTTAGCGAGGTATCGTGCGTATTGGTGTCAAGATAAAAATATAATAAAGAAATTTATACAGATAGATATCTTGCCCTCATAAAAGTGTTTTCATATTTACAAAGGTGTAGAAAAAGCCACTGGTTAAGCCACAAAATAAATTTATTTCCGTAAACATCTAAAAACAAGGAACAACATTTTTTTCGTCTACATTGTCAACGTGTCTACAACAGTGTTTAAAGCTCGCGTGAAAGCATCGAGTGCATTCTAAGTAGCAGCGCAGCGACGGTCGGTGTGGTGGTCGGCAGCGCGACTACCTGCAGTAACCCTCGCCCTGCAGGAATAACCTGAACGCTTCTGCTATCTTACTCGGCTGCTCCTCCAGCACCATCCCGCAGTCGGAGATACTCAACCACGACGTCTTGGATGGATCCAGTCGCCCGTTGAACGTTACTGTGTCATCAACATGTGGGGACAAAGCACCGGTCACATTCAGAACAGGCACTTTAATGGTATGCGTGTCCCTTGAAATACTCAGGTCCGTCCTGCGCAAATATGAATCGATGAACATCGCTAGATTGACCGGATTAATATGCGAGAAGCTTTCTTTGTAAACTTGCGCTAAGTCATGGTTGCGATCATCAGTACTGCGGCCGAAATGATGCCACATTAAATAATCCAGTGCCCCTTGCGTCATGCCACTCGATCGCAGCTGTCTAGTATTTATTTTCTGATATAGCCATTCAGTCCACCCGGCTTGAGTCGATGTGCAATTAATCAAAATTAGTGCGTCTACCTTTTGAGGACTTACAACAGCATAGCGCGCCAAAATGTTGGCTCCAGCTCCTACTCCAAAACCAATAAAGGATCTTATCCCAAAGTGTCCCAAAATAAAATCTATTTGGGAAGCCAATGCATCCATACTAGGATAAGTATAATCCTCGGGCAGTGTGGGTGCGCCTTCCTCTTGTCCCGGCGCTGTTACGTGATAGATACAAAACTTATCCAATATCGCTCTCATGTCAATGAAATTGAAGAAAGCCTGGAAGTTGGCGGCATAGTTGAGTCCAAGGTCATGGTAAGTGATGATGGCGCGCTTGCTGCGGTCCCCGCGGACGGCGACGAGCAGGTCCCCGCGGGAAGTCCTCACCCTCTCTTCTACGCATGCGCCGTCGTTGTGCAATCGTCTATTTGATGGGAAATGTAATTGAACGCTTTTCAATTCATCTTCGAAATTGTCTGAAGACATCATATTGAGCAGTGCTATGTTCTCATGTACGTGTGTAGGCATTTTTCTATTAAAATCGAATGGCACTTTCATCAATGTCAATCTCTTTGTTTACTTGTTACGTATCGACCTCCTGTCGGCGTCGAAATAGGTGTAAGATTTCTTCAATTTTCTTAATTAACGCTTGCAATTAGACACTGTTAACGATCCTGCGCTTATTACGTGCATACTAAATAACACAATGTCCGTGGTATGATTTAAACGTTTATTTGTCACTGAGTCACAGCAGAACACAATGTTTATGGTAAAATTCTTATTCTATCTGGCAGTATTGTGAACAGACTATATTATTATGTTGGAATTATCGCAGGAAATGGTCAATAATGCGTTGACCGGGCGAGCGTGAGTTCCAGCGCGAGGTTGATTCGGTACTGCTCGGCTGTTTCCGTGAGGGATCGCGTCATTCGCGTGTACCTGCTGGCCGATCGCAGCTCACTTCACAGCGGTCGGGCGGCTCACACATGCGCATCGCGCATATCGAATTTTTCCTAGATGTTATGTTTATTAGTTTGCCCATCTATGACAATCGATCATTTTAATAGGTAGGGACATAAGTAAGCATAATTTAATTATTACGAATGTAGTTCGGTATACATTTCTAGTCACTTGGGATTTTAGATTAGTACAACCTTTTAACTTTGATGTACCTAGTTATTATTTTGATAACCTTGACATGTTTCGGGTCAAAATATTGTATAAATAATCAATTTGATGACTCAAAGTTATTACTTACACCCACTCGTGTTTCATATTTTATATTTATTTGTACGAACTTTTAAAAAAAATGTAATATCTTTTTTATCTTTTTCTTTTTTTTACTTATAGAGTTGGGTAGGGACACAACAAATAACATATTTATATGTACTGACTGTTGACATAAAGAGCTTAACTGTGAAAAGAATTTGACAGTATTTTTAAGAGTAAGAGAGCCAAGCTTCAGCACGAATGGGTCGGTTCGACCGGTTTGATACCACGGCCTCGCAGAAAACCGGCGTGAAACAACCACAGCTTTATGTTTCGCCGTGAGAGTGAGGTCACTGAAGGCCCGATCCCTTCTCAATGCTTAAATATCCAATACTCTTATCCCTAAAAAGGTCGGCAATGCACTCGTAACTCCTCCGGTGTTGTGGGTGTGTGTGTTGTGCGCTGATTGCTTGCCATCAGGTTATCCGTCTGCTCGTTTGCCGACATATACCATACAAAAAATCCATTTAAAAAAAAATAAGGTTACTCATTTATATAAAAAAATTCGAACTTTAAAGTCAAGATTCAAAATTTGAAACAGCATTCGTAACTAAATTCACGCATTCTAAATAAGTCCGTTGTAAAATATGAAATACAAACACGGCACTGGTTACCCTTAGATAATGTTATTGCAATAACTTATAAGCAAACCGATCGATAGCTGTCGACAGCCAGTAATAGATTGCCTGCTAGGAAATTGTTCTGAACCACTGTTTTCTTAGAATCGAGAAATAAGCACTCTATTAAATGCTACCTTTCCTGTGGGCGTTTTGTTTTCTTTAGCCCTGTGTAATCAGAGGTGAGGTTTATGTTATGTATACACGTATACACTTGTGTATGAAGAAATAAAATTTATAAATAACACCATATACCTATAGGTATGTTATTATTAATAACACTATATTAATAAATATATATTTCAGTTAAAATATGATAAATACACATTTCAGTTCAAATAAGTTTTTTTTTAACTACACCGTAAAAATTGCTTACGTTTCAAACGTGAAGGTAAGACTGTAATCTTAATACAGTCAAACACTTATGTGCTAAGTTTGTACCAGAATTACAAAATACGTAATTTATGTGTGAAAGGCAAACGAGCTGAAAAGACAAATTCTTTTTTAAAACCCTTCCCTACACTTGGCTTTTATCCTGTATCCTGTATTGATTTTATCCTGTATTGTGTCCTGTTTCGGATTTTATGGATTGGAGAGGGTTGAAGGAACAGAAAGAAGAGAAAAGATTGGGCCTCTGGAAACCTCCACGGCGAAACACAACGCTGCAACGTTGTTTCACGCCGGTTTTCTGTAAGGTCACATGTCTAATACGCAAATCAAAATTGTTGTAGCTACCTGGCAGAAAAAATCACATGGCAGTCATGAAGCAAGATATTAATAATCCAGCATAAATTGACCTTTGAATGTTTGAAAATATCATACCAAGCGAGGGCAAGTCATATTGGTTAGTATCGCTTGACGAGTAGCCTTGTAAATGCTTATAAAAATGTACATGTACCTACTTTCTTTAGGCACTTACATATATAAAGTTAGTTACAGAAAATCCTCTAAATTAAAGTTCCGTGCTCGGGGCTTACAGTCCAAGGACACTCACGACAAATGCTCACCAAGATAACGAACTACAAGGACATAACTAAGGCGGTAGCGAAGCCGCGGGCTAAGCATTAGTGGGAACACAAAAAATGGTTTTCCTTTAGAGGAATTTCTACTATAATATTTTTTTTTAAAATAGAACATTATTTTTACGTTTACTAAGATACTGCGATCTCATTATTATAAATGTATATTTTCAGATAATGTAGAAATTTCCAAATGTGACGCTCGTCCATAAAAAGCTATGTACTTATACCTTATAATCCTAATATTGTTATAAAAATGTAAAATTAAAAGTTTGCAAAGTTTAACAACTAAAATAAACATCAACTATACTAAAAATGGACTTTTAATTTACTTTTTTGTTGTTCCTAGTATTCTGTAGGAAAAAACTCTATGTGTCGATAATACTTAAATTCCCAGTACACTTTATTATGCAGCGTCGTTGGGGCGTGGGGACAATGACCTGGGTGTTCATCGAGCTGCTTATGACTAATACCAGTTGCTTTCCGACGGCCTCCACAACCCCTTTATAATGCACTTATGTTCGTTACGCGATACGTTACTGCTTATGAATCTGACGTAAAACTTAGAAAGGTAATATGAACCCTATCTAAGCTTTAAAACTATAACAGCATAAAAGCACTGATTTTATTTTAATAATGGACTTAATTATAAAACGCCAAAGAAAGTCCGTCAGACTGTCCGTTAATGAAGTAAGGTGTCATGTTGAATTACTGAAACACGTGAGTTTTGAGGATTAGAATGTTGTCACATAATTCACGTTAGTGAGTCGTTGTTTTCAAACTCTCAAAACATTAGTTGTGTCATAAGAAAACCTTAATAAATTTAATGACATACTCCTTGTGTACGACACTTATAACATTACAGGAGTTTTTTTTTTATGTAATAGCTCGGCTAACGAGCAGACGGATTACCTGGTGGTAAGCAATCAGCGCCGCCCATGGACACTCGTAACGGAGGAGTTACGAGTGCGTTGCCGACCTTTTAGGGATTAGGGATTTGGAGATTTAGGGATTGAGGAGGGATTGGGAAAGGAGAAGGATTGGGCCTTCGGTAACCTCACTCACACGGCGAAACACAACGCAGTGGTTATTTCACGCCGGTTTTCTGTGAGGCCGTGGTATCACTCCGGTCGAGCCGACCCATTCGTGCCGAAGCATGGCTCTCCCACATTTAAAAAATTAATTACAAATTTCTATAATATAATCCTTATAGACTTAAATTGTATCGTGTTACTTGTGAGTCCTGCCAGCTGGACCGAAGTGAGTAGGACTAACTCCCTTCCGCAAACATCTTATGTTGGCAAAGGAGGCAGTTCAAAGGGCGAATTAGGTAACCAGGTCTATCCCATCTGCGACCTCCTTAGTATGGGCAGGAGTAGGTGTTCGCGTAATGTTCATTGTACTCGGAAAAGATAAGTACTACCTCACATTAATGAATCTAGTCATTTGGAGTTCATAAAACTACCGTAAGTAATATTAAGAAAAACGAAAAATAAAAACAAATGCCCACCCATTAATGCAAATGGACACAGGCAAAAGTTTTTTTAAAAAAACAGTGCATTAAAAGTACTGTTAACTCAACGTGGATTATCGATCGGAATCCAATAAAAAATGTACTTACACTAGTAAAAAATATATGGACAAGAAAATAAACATTAAACCTGTGGACCTGTAAGTTAGTGAATGTGAGTTTGTGTGAGTATAAGTGAGTGTGAGTGAGTGTGTTCCATGAATGAGTTCGTTAGTCGTTAGGGGCGACTCACGTATCGTATACATCGAACCCACAATTTATTTCCTCGGCTGCAAATATTTCCTTTTGGGTTTCCTGTTATTCGGCGCAGGTAACTTACTCTTAATAAGAGCATAAAAAAAAACTTTGTGCTTTCTTATATTCACTATAAATTAATATCTAATATTCACTAAAAATAAATCCATGGGCTGCACCGACTGCTTACTTATACTTATTATCATGACGCCCGTCTGCTGACTGCCGCCCCGTCGATCCCATGTAAACAAAATATTATGGAAATACATATACACATACAGAATTATCGTATAAATTGAAATAATTGACCTATCACAGAACTATTCAAAAAACAGTTTACCACTTTCAAATCACATAAGTATTATTATCACCAAATAATAAATCATTGATCAATAGCATAAAGTATTTAAATATATTCAGCAGCCTAGACTACTGAAACATACAGAATCTAATTAAAATGTGTAATTGAGTACGCGGTCACATTAAACACGATAATCGTACGTTAGATGGGGCAAATGCCCCGGTAAATTGCTAATAACAGCGAAAATCCTTTACAGCCGCCACGGGAGCATGCCTGTACACTTTACGCCGAGTTTATTAGGTTTTAAAGCAATTTACGACCTTAATTGCACTATAGGACACGTTGTTTAATGACTATCGGGTATTGAGTGTAGTTATGTGACCTGCATTGTGAGTTTCTTTTTGTTTTTATAAAACTTAAAATAGATTTTTTGTTTATATTAGTTTATGTAGGTACAAAAACAAGGTATTGCGTAATCCCTTTGTAGTTTTATTTCTTCAGACCTGCGCAGGATAATTTAACAAAACAACAAGACACAATGTGTAATTAAAACGTCTTTAATACTTTAGAAAATTATTACGTTATGGGTGTGGGTGGCTTTGGACTGGTAAATGATAACTATGGGAATACTATGGCCCTGCCCTAAACCAATATT